ACCCCCAGCTGTCAGGGCCTGAGAGCAGCTAAAATTCAGTTTCCGTGCTTTTTTTCTTTTTGAATATATTTTCTTTTGTTTGAATTAAATCAATGTTTTAAAGTTCAGTGAAAAAAACACTTTTCTTTCTTTATTTTTAGTTTTCCCTCAGGAGACATTATCCACTGACCCTCTGAGCCCCCTCCTCTCAGCAGACATCAGTCCATTGAGGAACAGATCAGCTTCTCAGACCCGACAGGAAGAAAAGAAACGTTCRTTTTATTAAAATCTGGTTTTTAACAAAGACTGATGAGATTATTAATCTGAATAATTCCAGCAGATTATCTGGATTATCTCTTTTATTTCTTTCTCCTCATCTAATTTTCTTCTCAGCAGAAGAAAATGGATTTTAAGATCTTTTTAAACATTTTGTTTAAATTAAATTAAATTTTCATCTGATTTAATCTGTTTCACTTTAATGAGATTATTTCAGATTTAAAGCATTGACCCAGAACCAGAACCAGGACCTTTACAGACACTTCCTGACCAGGACCCAAAGACTGGTTCTGAATAAAAGAGGAGCTGGTCTGTTGGAGACGTTGTGTTCAGACATGAAGTTCAGTCCAGGTCTTGGACCATCTGCAGGTTCTGACCCGGCTGAAAACTGAAACGTAGCATGTAGCATGTTCCTGATTCTGTACGAARGGTTTAAACATGTTTATCTTGTTGTAACGTGCTTGTTTCATGTCTCCACCCCTCCCCTCCTGGCCCCGCCCCCTGTGTTTACCTGCTGCAGGTGTGCATCGTGCAGAAGAGAGACACGGAGAAGATGTACGCCATGAAGTACATGAACAAGCAGCAGTGCATCGAGAGAGACGAGGTCCGAAACGTCTTTAGAGAGCTGGAGATTCTGCAGGAAATTGAACAAGTGTTTTTAGTAAATCTCTGGTGACTATCCCATAATATTCTTACACTTTGTGTGTGGTCTGCTGTGTGTCTCCTGTCTGTCCGTGCGCTTCGTCACAGACACGCTCACATGTGTGCTGCATGCAGGCTTGTTGAGGGTGAAACCAGAATCTGATGTGAAAATATGAAATAATTCATGTTAGTTTCTGTTCAAACATGATATTAAACATCTTTATTACACAATGTAAGGGTTCTGAAATAAACCTTTATGAGCCTTTAGGTTTCCATACATCCTCTGAGAGCAGCTATATCTTACCCACAATGCACCACCAGCTGACAGAAACATTCATCAGTCTGTGAGTGGATGAAAGGCGCAAACTCAGCAAAAAAAAATCACTGCAGAGTTTATTTTCCCGCTCGGATCTGTCCTCTGAATGAAACATGAGCCACTTCCTGTATGAAATATGAGCTCTTCCTGTATGAAGACATGAGCCACTTCCTGTATGAAGACATGAGCCACTTCCTGTATGAAGACATGAGCCACTTCCTGTATGAAA